GGAAGCTGCTGTTCCTTGAGCGCCTCTTGGGACTTAAACTCAACCCAGATCTCAAGTGGAACTCGTACATACGATCTATCGCTAAAGATGCTGGAAAAATGGTCGGTTCCCTAAACCACACCAGTAAGTACCTGACTCCCCCCTGCTATCCTCTATTTTAGAAGAGCCAGATCAGGCCGAAAATGGAGTACCGCTATCATATTTGGTCGGGAGCTGCACAGTCTTCACTTTCCAGTCTCGATAAAGTCCAAAAGCGTCTTGTGGGTGACAAATTATTTTCCTCCCTACAACCTCTTTCCTCACAAATGAAATGTCATAAGCCGCTCAATACTCTATCGCTATTTTCATGGAAAGTGTCGTGACGAACTGCATTCCTTGTGTCTTCAAAGATAAAGGCATGTCAATGAAAAAGGGGCGCCCCCCATAAACTGTACCAGAGCAGCTGATCTCTCCCTCGATCAAGCTCTAACATCTCAGTGAATTAAATAAAAAATGGTTGGTTACATTCAATGAGTCGAAAACCAAACTAGCTATATTCCAATATCGACAATCGGACTCTGAACTATCACCAGTCAAGATGAATGGATGCTCCCTCAGGAAGGTCCTGTTCCTTGAGCGCCTCTTGGGACTTAAACTCAATCCAAACCTCTCAAGTGGAACTCACATATAGGAGACATCGCTAAAGATTCTGGAAAAATGGTCGGTTTCCTATACCGCTCCAGTAAGTACCTGACTCCTCTGCGTTTTTGTTGGTGATGAATTAATTTGCACAAGGGTCTAGTTGGGAAGATATTAAATCACATTGAATGAACGCACTGCATTTAATGAGATTTAAAAAAAAAATAAGCATCCTGGGGAAAGTGCCGTGACGAACTGCATTCCTCAGCGCCATAAGACTGGCCGTGCCACTTACATTGTAGTGAAACACCCTCATTCCCACCGTATTCCGTTGGTGAGAAGTAAGTTCTACTCGAGCGGCTTCTTCACGTGAACAGTTGTTATGTGGAGCCAACTTCCAAAAGGATTTTTCCCGATCACTACAATCTTAACCTGCTTAAGTCTAAGGTTAACCGTTATCTCCCCCACCATAAACTCTACCCTTACTCTATAACCCTCTACCTCGAGTGGCTCCCAGGCCTTGTACAGTTGGAAACCCACTGTAAAACCACTTTTAGAAATAACTATCTCGACCAGGATTTATTATCCGTCGGCGTAATCTTACGAATATAAGATTCGCAGATGACACCATGTTGATGGCTAACTCGGGAAGAAAACTATAGGACCTCCTCGACTAGGTGGTAGAAGAAAGCGTGAAAAAAGGACTAACTATCAAATGCAAGAAAACAGAAAAATATATGCATCGGCAAATGAAAAAGCCGAAGGTGTGAATTATGAATTGGAGATGTCAACATCAAGCAGGTGCGAAATTTTAAATGCCTGGGAAATGTTTTTTAACAGAGGACGGAAAATGCGACACTGAAATCCGAAGGTGTATTGGGATAGCGAAAGGTGCCTTCCAAAAGCTAAGCAAGGTATTAAGAAAATGGAAAATCTCGTTAAAAAGAGTACTAGGCTATTATTTAACATCAATCCTCCTATATTTAAATTAAAATTTACCTTTAAACATATGTAAACAGAAAATATGTATAGATGTCATCAAATAAAACAACCCAAGATACGAATTACAAATTAGAGACACTTAAAATTAGACAAGTACAAACATTTAAATGCCTAGGAAGGATTTTTAGCAGAATACAGAAAATGCGACACCGAAATTCGAAGGTGTATTGGGATAGCGAACGATGCCTTTCAAAAGCTAAGCAAAGTATTAAGAAAGAGGAAAATCTCTTTAAAAAGAATACTGTACTGATATTTAACATTAATTTTCCTATATTTAAATTCACATTTACTTTTAAACATATGTAAACAGAATCTATGGTTGTCATCAAATGAAACAACCTAAGATGTGAATTACAAATTGGAGACACTTAAAATCAGGCAAGTACAAACATTTAAATACGTAGGAAGGGTTTTTAGCAGAATACGGAAAATGCGACACCGAAATTCGAAGGCGTATTGGGATAGTGAAAGATGCCTTTCAAAAGCTAAGCAAAGTATCAAGAAAGAAGAAAATCTCATTAAAAAGAGTACTGAACTGTTATTTAACATCAACCTTCCTATATTTAAATTCAAATTTACTTTTAGACATATGTAAACAGAATCTATGGCTGTCATCAAAAGATGCGAATTACAAATTGGAGACACTTAAAATCAGGAAGGTACAAATTTTAACAAAGGACGGGAAATGCGACTCCGAAATCCGAAGCAAGCATTTAATAAGCGAAAAAAAGCATGCCAAAAACTTAGCAAAGTACTGAGAAACAAAAAATTCATTAGAAACAAAGGAAGAGTTATGTGATATCCATCCACTTATATGACATTTACAGAGTATTGATGAAATACAAAGAAGAATCTGCAATGTTATTGGTCCTGACCTGACATCTCGGCTTCGATCACTTTCCCACCACCGTAAGTGTATATAATAATCCCAACCGAAATTGGAACTCGGCTCTCCGATTAACAATTTCGAGTCCTTATCTATTACACCATCCGCACATCCAGGCTTATAGCACTTGGTATTCTCAAATAGTCACTCATCTGACCAAATAAATGAGTTACGTCAATGACATCGTTGTTAATGGTTGAAACGGAAAGGAAACTACAGAACCTCCAGGACAGGATCATAAAAGAAAGCAGTGAATACTTGCCAATCACTACATGGATAACGAAAAAACTGGAGGCAACAGAAATATGGTTCTACAGAAGGATACTGAGAATTCCATGGACAGAGCGATAAAGAAAACGACAAGAAAATACACACATACGCAGGAAACTGTGGAGAGCCATAATCGCCAATGTCCTGAAGGGACACGGCACATAGAAGAAGAAGATTGAGCTTGTGTAAATGAATTGCAGAACACAGTTTAGGAAAGATAGCAAAAAGACAAATCTATCAAGAGCTTAAAGGACAGGAAATTGTGGAGAGCCATAATCGCCCACGTCCCGAAGGGACACGGCACGTAGAAGAAGAAGATTGAGCTTGTGTAAATGAATTGCAGAACACAGCTTAGGAGAGATAGCAAAAAGACAAATCTATCAAGAGCTTAAAGGACAGGAAATTGTGGAGAGCCATAATCGCTCACGTCCTGAAGGATCACAGTACATAGAAGAACAGTGAACGAATATATAGATCATCAGCAAGAGATACAGCTCAGGATGTGAGTTACGAATTGGAGAAACACATTATTTCGCACGTCTGCATTTACAGATATTTGATAAAATACAAAGAAGAATAGAATCTGCAATGTTATTGGTTCTGACCTGACATCTCAGCTTCGGTCACCTTCCCATCACCGTAAGTAAATACAATAATTCCAACCGAAATTGGAACTCGGCTCTCCGATTAACAATTTCGAGCCCTTATCTATTACACCACCCGCACATCCAAGCTTATAGCACTTGGTATTCTCAAATAGTCACTCATCTGACCAAATAAATGAGTAATGGCTGAAACGGAAAGGAAACTACAGGACCACCTAGACAGGGTCATAAAAGAAAGCGAGAAAAAAGGACTAACTATCGACTACATTCATTTCATCATTCGAACCAATGCGAATGGTCGTTTCTTTAGCTGCATAGCATTTTCTACACCTGGGCTACATACAGTTTTTGAATTCAGAGTTACTTTCTCCTAGACCAGTTGCCAACCAAGGCAACCTGTCATTTACCCATAACTCTCGATGGTGGTTCATCTTTTGTCGACCGTAATCGGAATCATCGAGCCAATGCGAACGATCCTTTCTTTAGCTGTATAGTATGTGTTATCCCAAGGCTACATATAGTTTTACATTCAGAGTTACTTTCTCCTAGACCGGTTGCCAACCAAGGCTATAGAATCCAGTCGGTCCTGCTATTTTACTCATAGCTGAAGGGAGATTCATACCTTTTCCTTTGGGTATTAGTAAGTGAATTCGATCTTGGATTTCCAATTCTTCTATACATCGAGCCTCCATTACGATAAAAATATTTATTCATTCATAGTGTTCTGACCACAATTTGGTGTGGAGGGAGTAAGTATTTGTGCATAATTGAGACACTAGTAAATGCTAGCACTAATTAAGACGTGGTTCCACCCTACCCAAGACATCCCGATCAGAGACCTTACTGCGGATGTAGTTTGTCGTCCGACCCAGGATAAATATTAAATAACCCATAGAGGTTGATATGCTGCTAAGCAAAATCAACCAACCAACCAACTCTACACTGAGTGACCCTCAAGCCTTATATTAGATGAGTATTAGTAAAAAGGGGGAAAAAATCCAAAAGGTATACTAGATGACACACAGGCCCAAGACATAACGCAACATTAGCCAAATCGTCTTGTCTTCAGCAAAAAAATCGCCCCCCCCCTTTCATGCCTATTTAGACGAGAAATCCAACCTTTCCCTGACCCGTGTTTATTAAAAGTAGAAGCAGGACTTATATTGACTGGAGGGACACTTCATCATCCCCCACCACCACCAGTAGAAACGCTCCGCCGATTCACCCCCACACCTGAAACACTCCCTGCGCACTGACCCATACAATCTAATGCTCAGATCTGAATTCTTCGATTGCTCTGATCTGACTCACCCCTTTCTTCAGTGACTCGAGTCGCCCTTTCGTAGTTTTCCAGCCTCCTGCACTGTGCCAAATCACTCCACACACCTCGATTTAGAATCATA